GTCCAGGCAATAGGTGGCCACACAGCGGGAAGTCAACTGTCTATTGTATTACCTGTACTTGCAATAAAGATTGTCGTGTGTGCTCTGTGTGGGTTCGGGTTCAGTGTGTGTCAAAGGTTATTTTGTCTGTCATAAGCTCAGTTACGAGCCACGGACCAGCAAGGTCACCCAGGGGTCTGTGACAATGCTCCTATGCCATACTCCAGTTTTGGTCGTACGTATCCAGTGTATACTTGTCGTACAGTGTTGGCATACGCACCCCAGCTTGTTCCAGTAAGTTTCTTCATAAGTCTGAGCCTCAGGGTAGCTTTCCTTTGGGTGTCTTCAATGCTGGGGCCCCAGGTTAGCCTTTTGTCAAATTTTACTCCCAAATATGTAGGGTTTTCCTCTTTTGGAAGGATTTTGCCTTCTAGGTACAGATCAACTTGTTCTGGCTTTGTGGAAAAGTTGAGACAGTTTTGGTATAGTTTATTGTGACTCCCCAAGAGTCTGTCCATTTCTTAACTATATTTATAGCTTCCTGCATTCTTGTTTTAGTTGTTCCTATATGTTCAGCTTGAGTCCATATGGCCAGGTCATCTGCGTGTAGCGCCTTGTGAATGTGAGTCGTGAACTGTTTTGGGAGGTCATTGATGAAAAGAATAAACAGGGTAGGAGATATAACTATATAATTTCCTGTGCGAGATAAGAGGTTTGGTCATCAGTGCTTCTGTATCTCCTGAAGCCTGATTGGCTGTCATCCAATATCTTGTTTTCTTCTAGGAAATTAAGTAACCTGTTGTTCACTAATCTTTCCATGGTCTTTCCAAGGCAGCTTATGGGGCGGTAACTGAATTTGTTTTCCTTGGCTTTCCTTCCTTGGCTATGGGAACTATTTCTGCCTCCTTCCATTCCTTAGGAAGTAGTCCCTGGGCCCAGGATTGGTTTATAAGGTCTAAGAGTCGTTGCCTACCAGCTGGTCCCAAGTGTACTATCATTTCGTTTGTTATTCGATCAGGTCCAGGGGCCTTCCTTTTCTTAAGGTTTCTTAATGCACATTCAAGTTCTTGGGGACTGAAGAGTTTATTTATTATATCTTGGTTATCTTCCTGCTTTTTATTTATTTTCCTCAGTTCTCTCAACACTTCTTCTTCTCTCGCTCTAGTCAAGAAGATTTTGCTTTCTTCTGCAAAACTATCAGCCAGCAGGTTTGCTGCTTGTTTACCAATGAAAGTTTTCCCACCATCTTCAATGACAGTGTGGGCACGGCTGGTATTATTCTCCATGTTGAGACTCTTTACTAGATGCCATAGCTTTTTACAATCTTTCTCCATGTTAAGAGCTGCAGTCTTTTCTTGCCATCTTGTCCGGATGCATGTGAGTTTTTCTCTTTTATCTTCTCCTTCTTCTTCGCTTTCACCAGCTGTATACTCTGGCAGAAAGTTCTGGTTGCTCGTCCACTACTGAACTGCAGTCCTGTTCCAGAACCTGAGTGTTGCATGTGCATCAGTTTTACAGATCTCATTCTTTTGAATACAGACTGTTGGTTCCTTGCCTTTCCGGCAGATGCACTCTGACTTCAAAAGAAGCTCCCCAATTAGTCGACTCTTACGACATGCTTTTGGGGAAGCAGTGGGTCTATTCTTGTTTTCCCGACAATGGGGCCCCGGAACCCACACGGGGTCTCTTTTATAAATAGCCTGATGTTTATTGTGTTCTGTTACATTGAGGTCAGAGGGATCTTGTTCCATTTTTTCTCTTGCTTCAGTGCTTCTTTGGTGCAGTTGTTGCAGTTCTTGAGTCCAGAAGGGTTCATAGTTTTGCTTTGGACCTCGGGGGATTGATTTTTGTGCTGTTTCGAGTATGATATTGGTAAGAGTTGTGGTGTTTTTTCTAACCTCATTAGTGGGAAAGGGCTCTGATAGTTTCTCTTCTGTTGAGTTTTTGTAGAGGTGCCAGTCTGCTTTCTTGTAGTTCCAGCTGGCTATCATCTTCTTATTTTCTGGAGGCTTGACCTCTCCTATCATGACAATGACTGGTTTGTGATCACTTCCTCCTAGCTGTTTGATCACTTCTCTGTCTGCCCTGCGTTGGATGTTTTCTTTAGCTATAGCTAGGTCTCTTTTACTTTGTGTTTTCCATCGTCTAGAGTAGAATGTTGGTTCAGTCAGGTTCATTTATTAGTATCAACAGGTTTTCTACCATCCATTCCTCTACCTCTTTTCCTTTTGTATCCATAGAAGCATAGCCCCAACTAGGGGAATGATTGTTGAAGTCACCAAGAATTATGTGGCTCTTATCAGCTACTTGGATGTATTCTAGTTCTAATTTCTTGTTGTTGGGACAGTAAAAGTTTGTAACATATAGTGGCTCAGGAAGGATATGCAGTTTTATATTTAGATGTTCAGACTCACTGATGCTTCTTGAAGTTTCTGTGGCTGCAATGGTATTTTTAACTAATGTAATGATGCCTCTTTTGTGGCCATCTCTGTCTAGCCTATATGTTTCATAACCTCTGACAGAAAAGCGAGAGCCTATGTTTAAATGTGTTTCCTGAATGCAGACAACATCAATATTGTGTTCATATATGAATTTCTGCAGTTCTAGCCTTTTCTTCAAGACCCCTTCTGCATTCCACTGCATTATCTTCAGTGTTTTGGTATTTTTGTGGCCAGACGCTTTACTCTGCTTAATCCTGGTCCGCCGATGCGCAGAGCTACCATCAGTAGTCTGGGGTGAATTCCTTCAAGGCTCAAAATCCGGCACTGTTCCCGCCTGGCGGTAGTCCACAGGAGCAGCCCCATAACGGTGTACGTATCTTAGCATACTCATTAACCGTATATTGCGCTATTCAGGCCGACATGTCCATCTTCGGTGGGGGAAGTTACGGAGTCTTCCTATCCGTGTCCTGGTTCATCCAAACACTGCCTGCCAGAGATCAGAGGTTGTTGGAGTTTCCCTTCTCCGCCTTTGATTATCCAGGGTGGGCTTCCTGGGTGTGACCTTAGTGGGGATCGGGACATGTCCACGCGCCGGTGGGCCCAGCATCAGCCGCACCTTACGGGAGGGGGGTCACACTCCCCAGAGGGTTTCTGTCTGGCTTACCACAGCCATAGCCTGGTATTTTACCCCTTCAGGCTCGGGGGTCCATTTTGTTAGCGATGGAGACTCGCTATCCGCCAGAGCCGTGTCTGTTACAACAGGTAGCACCACGTGTAGGTTCGGATGACTTAATTGGCAGAGGCTATAAGTTACGCGCAGGCATTTTCCACATTTTAGGTGGGACCTGAACATACCAATCCTTGCTACCCGCTTGGTATCCAAACCCTCTACCTACTGTCCACTGAATGATTCTCTCCAGATATGGATGCTGTGTTCTGTTGTACTATTCACTTAATCCCAGAGAGCCTTTGCCACATCCACTTTACTGTAAATAATCTCACAGCTCTAATGAGTGGCAGCAGTTAGTTTATCTGCCTGCTCATTACACTGCCTGCTCATTACCCTGCATGCTCATTACCCTGCATGCACATTACTCTGCCTGCTCATTACCCTGCATGTTCATTATCCTGCATGCTCATTACCCTGCATGCTCATTACCCTGCATGTTCATTATCCTGCATGCACATTACACTACATGCTCATTACCCTGCATGTTCATTACCCTGCATGTTCATTACACTGCATGCACATTACACTACATGCTCATTACCCTGCATGTTCATTACCCTGCATGTTCATTACCCTGCATGCACATTACACTACATGCTCATTACCCTGCACGCTCATTACACTACATGCTCATTACCCTGCATGCTCATTACCCTGCATGTTCATTACACTGCATGCACATTACCCTGCATGCTCATTACCCTGCATGTTCATTACCCTGCATGTTCATTACCCTGCATGCACATTACACTACTTGCTCATTACCCTGCATGCACATTACACTACTTGCTCATTACCCTGCATGCACATTACTCTGCTGCATGCTCATTACCCTGCATGCACATTACTCTGCTTGCTCATTACACTACTTGCTTATTACCCTGAATGCACATTACTCTGCTTGCTCATTACACTACATGCTTATTACCCTGCATGCACATTACTCTGCTTGCTCATTACACTACATGCTTATTACCCTGCATGCACATTACTCTGCTTGCTCATTACCCTGCATGCTCATTACCCTGCATGCTCATTACCCTGCATGCTCATTACCCTGCATGCTCATTACCCTGCATGTTCATTAACCTGCATGCTCATTACCCTGCATGTTCATTACCCTGCATGTTCATTACCCTGCATGCTCATTACCCTGCATGCTCATTACCCTGCATGCACATTACCCTGCATGTTCATTGCCCTGCATGTTCATTAACCTGCATCCCAGAATGTCCTGGATAAGCAGTCCATATATTATATGTTATATTCCTGGTCTGAGTCTTATCAAGCGCAAGCCACATTTGGACACTCTAGGACATGTATCTATTTTCTGAAGTACACTTGTGAGTCTGTTACGATTAGGACATGTCAGTTAGCAAGCTGCCAGTACTACCTCCACCTCCTTTCTCATGCTAGAAGTGATGTTATATGTAAGGCTCTTTTCTTTTAGATAGTGTCCATTAACTTGTCAGTGAAACTGCACCCACTCTTTCTAACTGTTACCATATTTTTATCTGTACATATAATGGCACACACTTGGGCATGTATTGTCACTGATGCCCGTGTTTCACCATCCATCCATTGCTAACACCCTCAGCCCAAAGAAACCATCCTTCTATGTAGGGCTGCTTTGCTGGGTGGTGCTGTGGCCCATTTCTCTCTATTTACTATCTTGTCAGAGGGGTATGATTGTATCAAAATCATGCAAGACTGATAAAATTCTACAGCCTAGGATTAGAACAGAAAAGACTTATGATGAATGAATGGATGAACTGTCATTTATGCCAGAGTGAATGTGCGAATATTTCTCAACATGAACTGCCACTCGATTTTCTTGTTGCATGTTTCAGAAAATCAAATATCACAGCTTGTGAAGCAATCCTGGACTCAGTGCGAACGACTCTTTCCCAGTCGCCTTTCAAGTTGACAAATGTTAACCAGTCAGTGCGGATTATTTCTGGATCTGAGGAGGGTGCTTTTTCCTGGATCACCAGCAACTATGCCACGAATGCTTTCAGAGTTGTAAGGCAAAATTTCATTCTGACTTTTGGAAGTGTTTGTGAAAAAAAAAGGGGGGGGGGGGGGGGGGGTTTGAGAGTATACTCTTAACATTGCATTAATGGCCAGGAATTTAGAACAGTCAGGCAACTGAGGAAAAAAAATTGCCTGTAGTTTATAATGTCCCATTTTATCACTTGAATGTTATTAGATGATGTCCCACTGTGTCAGACAGCTGAGGACAAACTTGGATGTTAGCGGATGATGTCCCACTGTATCAGACAACTGAGGACAAACTTGGATGTTAACGAATGATGTCCCACTGTATCAAACAGCTGAGGACAAACTTGGATGTTAACAGATGATGTCCCACTGTATTAGACAGCTGAGGACAAACTTGGATGTTAATGGAGGAAGTCCCACTGTATCAGACAGCTGAGGACAAACTTGGATGTTAGTGGATGATGTCCCACTGTATCACACAGCTGAGGACAAACTTGAATGTTAACGGATGATGTCCCACTGTATCAGACAGCTGAGGACAAACTTTGATGTTAGCGGATGATGTCCCACTGTATCAGACAGCTGAGGACAAACTTGGATGTTAACGGATGATGTCCCACTTTATCAGACAGCCAAGGAAAACTTGGATGTTAGCGGATGATGTCCCAGTGTATCAGACAGCTGAGGACAAACTTGGATGTTAATGGATGATGTCCACTGTATCAGACAGCCGAGGACAAACTTGTATGTTAGCAGATGATGTCCCACTGTAACAGACAGCTGGAGAACAAACTTGGATCTTAAGGGATGATGTCCCAGTGTATCAGACAGCCAAGGACAAACTTGGATGTTAACGGATGATGTCCCAATGTATCAGACAGCTGAGGACAAACTTGTATGTTAGCGGATGATGTCCCACTGTATCAGACAGCTGAGGACAAACTTGGATGTTAATGTTTGATGTCCCACTGTATTAGACAGCTGAGGACAAACTTGGATGTTAATGGATGATGTCCCACTGTATCAGACAGACAAGGACAAACTTGGATGTTAGCAGATGATGTCCCACTGTAACAGACAGCTGAGGACAAACTTGGATGTTAGCAGATGATGTCCCACTGTATCAGACAGCTGAGGACAGAGTTAAATGTCAATGGATGATGTCCCACTGTATCAGACAGCTAAGGAAAAACTTGGTGTTAGCAGATGATGTCCCACTGTATCAGACAGCTGAGGACAAACTTGGATGTTAATGGATGATGTTACTGTATCAGACAGCCAAGGACAAACTTGGTGTTAGTGGATGATGTCCCACTGTATCAAACAGCTGAGGACAAACTTGGATGTTAACAGATGATGTCCCACTGTATTAGACAGCTGGGGACAAACTTGGATGTTAATGGAGGAAGTCCCACTGTATCAGACAGCTGAGGACAAACTTGGATGTTAACAGATGATGTCCCACTGTATTAGACAGCTGAGGACAAACTTGGATGTTAAGGGATGATGTCCCAGTGTATCAGACAGCCAAGGACAAACTTGGATGTTAACGGATGATGTCCCAATGTATCAGACAGCTGAGGACAAACTTGTATGTTAGCGGATGATGTCCCACTATATCAGAGAGCTGAGGACAAACTTGGATGTTAACAGATGATGTCCCACTGTATTAGACAGCTAAGGAAAAACTTGGTGTTAGCAGATGATGTCCCACTGTATCAGACAGCTGAGGACAAACTTGGATGTTAATGGATGATGTTACTGTATCAGACAGCCAAGGACAAACTTGGTGTTAGCGGATGATGTCCCACTGTATCAAACAGCTGAGGACAAACTTGGATGTTAACAGATGATGTCCCACTGTATTAGACAGCTGAGGACAAACTTGGATGTTAATGGAGGAAGTCCCACTGTATCAGACAGCTGAGGACAAACTTGGATGTTAACAGATGATGTCCCACTGTATTAGACAGCTGAGGACAAACTTGGATGTTAACAGATGATGTCCCACTGTATTAGACAGCTGAGGACAAACTTGGATGTTAATGGAGGAAGTCCCACTGTATCAGACAGCTGAGGACAAACTTGGATGTTAACAGATGATGTCCCACTGTATCAGACAGCCAAGGACAAACTTTGATGTTAGCGGATGAAGTCCCACTGTATCAGACAGCCAAGGACAAACTTGGATGTTAGCAGATGATGTCCCACTGTAACAGACAGCTGAGGACAAACTTGGATGTTAGCGGATGATGTCCCACTGTATCAGACAGCTGAGGACAGAGTTAAATGTCAATGGATGATGTCCCACTGTATCAGACAACTAAGGACAAACTTGGTGTTGGCGGATGATGTCCCACTGTAACAGACAGCTAAGGACAAACTTGGTGTTAGTAGATGATGTCCCACTGTATCAGACAGCTGAGGACAAACTTGGATGTTAACGGATGATGTTACTGTATCAGACAGCCAAGGAAAAACTTGGTGTTAGCGGATGATGTCCCACTGTATCAGACAGTTGAATACAAACTTGGATGTTAGTGAATTATGTCCTGCTGTGTCAAACAGCTGAAGACAAATTTGCATGTTCGCAGATGATGTCCCACTGTATCAGACAGCTGAGGACAAACTTGGATGTTAGCGGATGATGTTCCACTGTATCAGATTGAGTGCCACAGGCATAAGATAATCAGAGATATACACAACAGGTGTTGCAGAAGATGGCAGACTGATGTCAGTTCCCCGGTTGAGCGCTGAACCCTGGGAAGGCCAATATCATGGGTACTCAATAAACCTCACTACTGGGTTACCCATTCTGTCTGTTGTAGCTGTGGCAGGTAAATTCGCTTTTATCTAGCGAATGCACTGTACAATCTACAGAGGGAATCACAAACTGTTAATCATCCTACAAGATTATTTCTCCCAGCCTTGCTGGTTAAAGGAGAGGATTCAGGGTTTACCCACATCTGATTCCCAATTTTTAATAAATTGTATACTTAAATGTACTAAAGTTCACTGACACAAATGATTAGTTGAAATAAACTCCATAAAACTGGAAGGAAAATTAAAACAATCATAACATTTATTTGGAAAAGTCAAAATAATAATTAGCCTGGCTGTGGAGATAAAATTGGTTTCAGATAATGGATGGGGATAGTCGACCAATTTGCCCACTTAGCTATAGATCGGGTTTCTTTGGTCAGCTTCTAGCCAAGCCTCGGAGACACATCTGGCAGGTCGAATCTTCTAGTCCAGTCAATACAATCAGGCATCTGCAGCTACGCTGGAATTTACTTCTGGAACTCCCACCTGGAACTACCACCTGGACCCAGAACAATAGAACAGTCCCTATACAAGCAGTTTAGAAAGTTCTCACTGAAGACAACAGTACCTCCAGTCCTCAGACTGTTACACTACACACACATATGGAGTAGGGTAATCACAAGAGTTCACATTCTTCACTGGTACAGAATGGGAATGTATACAGAACATCAGTTTCATTAATACTTTCAAGTACAAGAGTCACACAAAAAGAAAGGACATTCATCAGTGTGAATTATTCTGATGTCTTTACACTAGTGAGGGGTTAACATGCTTACACACAGTCAGGTTCACAATAGATTCTCATTTCAACCACATGGGTTCACATCACAAAGAATGAGAATCAGGGAGTGCGTTTACACGAGCTGGAAACTCGTTGCCCAGTTTGAAAATACATGGGGTTAGACACATCTCAATCAGTATAACTGGGTGCTGAGATAGATGTCATTATACAATCATAGATGACAATAGGCTTTCCATCTGTCACAGTATTAACATAAAATATACAACACTAACTCCAGTTTAAATCTGAATCCATACATGGGCTGTATCTTATTCAGTAGAGTTTAGAAGTTGAGAGGGGGTAAAATATAATTATTTAAATTGTAAGGCTACCTGCTATGGTACTGAAAATATATTCCTAGTAATATGAAAATATATATACAACAATAATTATTACAAGCATGGGCCATTCACCTCTCTTCTTCTTCTCTGACATTGTGAATATTAAATTTAGCCACAATGTTGTATTAACTTTTTCAAGCTCTTAAACCAGTCTCAGAATTATCTGGACTAAATCTAAATTAAAGCAAGACAGTGATTTATCAGGCTAATATCACCATGAGGTCAAATCAACTTAGTAAGGATTAGGTATAATACACTTTATTCGTTTATTAATTGTCTCATCATGCTGGAAATCGGAACTTGCCAAGATTTCACATGAGAATATAAATTCCCACTTAATTAATATAATTATAATAATTAAAAATACCAATGCACGTTTCTGGTATCAAATAAACATTATTTCAATCAAATAGATCATATGTTTGCATACATGTACATACTAGATCCTAAATGTGGTTAGTTAGGATGGAGGGAATTCCTCAAGGATTGTCACCATGCGGGCATCACATTTTATAGTTCAACAGATAATATTAATTCAGAGGAATAGCAGCAATAGATAAAATTAAAATAATACTATTCACTCACCCCTGGCAGGGAATTCAAACAGACAACAAGACTACAGAAGTGACTAACAACTTTAGTATTACTGGGTCAGGGAGCTCACAGGAGTCTGTGAACCTCACTCTGTTTCTGAATTGAATAGAAAGTTACAAAAAGGGGAAAGTAACTCTTAAGTTAATTCTCCAACTCATCGTACAAATCTTTTGAATCTTTAATTAATGAATTAATAATATTGCTACAAAAAAGCAATAAATAAGTAAAAGGTAAGAAAATTTAATAATATTGCTAATACAAAGCATTACTTAAAAGGGCAGAAACAGCTGTCCAGACCAGCTCGTCACAGTAGCTGTAAAAGAACTTGACATTAAAATTGGTGTATTCAAGTGTTCAGGTTTGACACTAGATCCTAGCTTGTTCTGAAAGTAACAGAGCAGAGTATTATTGATTGTGAGTGTGGTCTCAGAGCGATGCTATCAATAATCAAATTCCCCTGATTGATCTATACCTCAGGTAAGTAACTGAAAACTGTGATTTTAAAGATCTTATTTTTGCAAACAGTTTGTCTTTCATGTGACTGAAAGGAGAGATAACAAACATGTCTCATCTGTACCCAGACTTGCAAAACTCCCAACTGAAAGTTTTTTTGTCTACCCATTCGTCCAGTCAGCTAGGGAACTCCCCTCAAATCTAATATTCACTTACCTGAGTACTCTTTGTCTCTCTTGTCTACATACAACCTGTATGAACAGTAATTGTCCTGTCTGCTAATATGATTCAAATTCTATTCATCTTTTGTATTTTCCTTTGGCTATGTCGTAAACTAAACTAGACATGTTTTTATGTTTTTGATATCAGATGTTTCTGTTACAGCAACGTCCAGGGATCAGCCAGCCACTAGCCAACACCATTGTACCAACTATAGGAGCCCTGGACTTGGGTGGAGCCTCTACTCAGATCACGTTTCATTCAACAGTACAGATGCCCCAGGGTTACAGTCTGGAGACTCACCTCTTTGGACACAACTATACTCTTTACACACACAGCTACTTGTGCTATGGGGTGAAGGAGGTTACCACCAGGATATTTGCTAGCCTTCTTTTGGTAATTCAGTGCAAATTGTGTCACAATTAGTTTTTGCTTGCATGACACAGCATTATCTGTTTATGTAGTTATAATTGTGTCACTATTCTTTCTGTTGATTTACTTCAGATTGTGTCAGAATTCAGTTCTTTCTTTTAGCTTGATACTGCATTATGTTTGTGTACTTTAGATAGTGTCACAATTCTTTCTGTTGGCCTGACATTCTGTTAGATATTTATACTGTGTTATCTGCTTGTGTACTTTAACTGTTTCACAGTTCTGCTGGTTGGACACCATACTGTCTGTTTATATACTTCCTGACAACTCAACTCAGGACTTTCTGTCACTGTCCTATCAGCATGAAATGTTTGTCTCCCATGTAGGCCTTGTTGGTTTCTTATACTCTGCAAAGAATCTGTTCAGTAGAGGAGCAACACTTTCTTGGTTGTAATCAAGCGGTTTGTGTTCTCAGCACTCATCTTTCAAGCACTGAAACTTGGTCAACATATTCACACCTGGTGAAATAGCTAAATAGCTTTCACATGTGATGCCTAAGAAGAATACTAGGCATTAAGTGGCGAGACAAAATCACAAACACTGATATCAGAAAGAGCAGGTATAACAGCAGTTTTCTCAATGCTCAGCCTCTGAAGGACCATGCATCAGGAAGGGAATGGGAAAAAATGAGAACAGAGTATCTAAGAAGCACTCTAAATACATGTGGTGGCAACAATGGCCCTACAATCCCATGCTCTAATTGTAGAAAACAGTTGACATGGGCTGGTTTTGCTAGTCATACCCACCATGGTCTGTAATTTGCATGCCTCAACTAAGCACTGTATGACACTATCATCTAAAAAAAATGGAGAGGTGGCAACCAGATCATAATGCTAATGATGATGACACAAACAGACTGTATTTTATTGCACTTTTTCCCAAACTTTTTTTAGTCGCGGCGCCTTTTTTTTCAGTTAAAATTTTTCCACGGTGCCCTGACTTTTTGTATGACTATTCGTAAGCAAGAGATAAAAATAAATAAAACTCATGAATCTTCATTATTTTTTTCTTTATTAACATTAAGTTAACAATTACTGTGATGGATGAGCCTGTAAATCACTGCTCATTTTCTCAGATCGTGGAATCAAACTGGACACGGCCACCCTCATTTCACGTTGATTTTTGCTTTCTACTAGCTTTTTATTACAGCCACTATCAAAGTCCCAGCTTTGCACAAATATGAAGTAGAACATTGAATTAAAATCTGCTGCGCTTTGTCACTTAGAAGGGGATATTCATCATTTATTGAAATCCAAAAATTCTGTCAATTCCATGCTGGCAAATTTTGCTTTCAAACTTTTATTGCAAAATAACTCGATAAGATTCTCTTTTTCTTTGGAAGTAAATTCAGGCGGAGCACTAGCGCTAAACGGATCTTGAATCTATGCAAACTTATAGAAATTTTCATTATGAAAATATTTCTCAAACCAGATAATTAGCTGTGATAATTGCTCCCCAAAAATGGTTTTCCGTTGATTTCGAAATTTGCATGTTTTTTCCTGCAGAGAGCGATTAAGAGGATTCAGCTTCTCAATAATGTCGCATAAATATGCCAGTCTTATAAAAAAAATCGGCATCAGCAAAATATTCTGCATCTTTGTATCATTCTTTTTTAAGGAAAATAAAAAATTGTTGTTGCAATACAAAGGTACATGATAAAACATTACCACGCGAGAACCATTGTAAACTGCTATAGTATAACAAAGACGAGTGTTTGGCTCCCATATCCTCACACAGTTTTTTTTTTTAAAACCTTGCTTTTAATGGACGAGATTTTATAATGTTTACCATATTTACCACACATTCTAACATCTGATCCAGTGCAGGACTCAGATGCTTTGACGCTAGAGCTTCTCTACAAATAATGCAAAGGGTCCACAGTGCTTTTGGAGATTTGCTTCAAAAGTGCCTTTAATCCTCCATAGCAGCCAGACATGAAGCAAGCTCCATCAGTACAAATACCAACGCATTTAGGCCAATTCAAATTATTTTCAGATATGAATGTAACAAGAATCTCAAACATGTGCCCTGAGCCTTCTCTCCTGTAGTGATATTTTTACAAAACAGCAAGTCTTCTTTAAAATTATTACCATCTATAAACCGTATATAGCATCATAACAAATGAGCATCCTTATTATAATCCGTAGCCTCATCTAACTGCAATCCAAATTTGACTCCTTTAAATTTTTCAATTAATTGATTGTTAATATCCTCCGCCATATGTTATATTTTCTGAATAATTGTGTTATTGGACAAAAGCACTGTTAAAAGCAGTATACCTGCAGACTTGCCATTTCATGATGTTCACCATACCTAAAGCAGCTGGTAAAATACGTTTTTCTGCAATGGTATGAGTCTTCTTACATTTTGCGATTCTGTAAGTGTGTGTGGTTCTTGCTGTCTAGGTAGTATTCATGCATGTGTGGTGGATGATCTTCTCACACGCTCCACGTTACACAACTGGCACAAGCCGACACCGATGAGAGCTTACGAGACATGAGTTTATTGACGTATTTACACTTACATACAAGAATGTCCTGTCGGTGTCCTAGTAAACAGCTCTCGCACACAACTTCATACAGCCTTCAGCGAGCAGTCTTCTTCAAGCATTCACGGACCAAAGTCGGCTCCCATGGATTCACGTTGAGGTTCTGGCCATCTCACACACTGGCATGGTCGATCTCGGCTTCACACTTTGTCGGCAGGATCTCCTTTCTGCACAAGCACTCTCACGTTGACATTCTCACTTTCAGTCGTACGTCCTCTCACTCCAACAGGTCGACACAAACTAAACTTGACCAGAGTCAAGTCTGACTTATACCACGGGTTCGTTTCACGTGACAACACGTGGTGGTCCTTTACTTTTCACATGGCGACCTTGGGTCGCATCATCGTGGTCCCCGTGATAACTAGCGGTCATCACTTATCTCAAGATTCTCGTTTAATCCGAGTATCTGGACTATCTCGGTGTTTTAGGTCAGCTTTGGGCCTTCCCCCCAACCATCCTAATCTAGGTGAAAATATCCCCCATTACATTCAGCCACCTTGTAAGATGCTAGCAAAGCGTTGTTTGGTACTGATGCTGTTTTAAAAAATGTATTCTTTGTTGTTCAAGTTTTTTTAACTTCATGGCCCAAAAAAATTATGAGGTTTGCCAACTATGCTGTAGTGATTAGCTTCTAAATGGTGCTTCAATTTACTTGGAAGCATACACTTTGTTGCCAAAACGTTCATTCATGATACACATTGTGGTCTCTCTTCTCCATTAACTCTTTACAGACGTTTAACCAGTATACTGGATATGAAGTCTATCCCTTACAGACAAATCGCCAGTTTACTGGATCGTGATAGAGACACTCTAATTTTGTTCCGTTTGTGGGAAAAACAAACTTTTATGATCAAGTTTTTGAACAATTAGGATTAACAACAGAAAGTCCTTTCGAGTGCGAAGTTTATCGTGGTCGGTGCACTATTTTATTATTTGTTTTAGATTTATTTTGTGCGATATAATTTTGTTGTGTGATTTTTCTGAAATGGCAGCTTTCAACCCTTCAACATCCCTGCAGATAGAGCTCAAAGAATGACAGACGCAGGCTTTAGGTCTTATGCAGCGGTTGTTAGATGAAGAAGATAATTCTAGTAGTGATGATAACTTAGATTCAGAATTATCTGACAATGATGTAGATGATGACGATCGAGAATATCAGCCATCTGCTGCAAAACACGCCAGACTAAATGGTAAGGGTAAGGGAAAGCAGAACAATAACAAAGCCTACAGAGCTGCCCATACTGCTGCTGTCGTTGATGAATCTGATCCAGATAGTGACAACAATAGTGTTGACCTTATCAATAGTAATAATGCATGTGCAGTATCTGTTGCTGACGTTTTGGCTTGGGATGAAGCTGAAGAAAATGTTTCGATCGGATCGTCCCTGTTTCGATTAGCTAAATCTGGAATTCAGGCACCACTGTATGAAAATTTAACATCACTGGATTGTTTATTCACACTGCTGACAGCTGATATTTTTGACAGCCTTGTTGAAAACATAAATCTTTATGCAGTGGAAAAAATAAAGAAAAAGATCTACATTGTCTGAGTGGCAGCCAATGACTAGATACATTTTTTTCAGTTTCTCAGTGTAGTGATAGCAATGGGAATTACACCGAAACATGACATTAAAGATTACTGGTCTACAGTGAACCACAAATTCCCACCATGGTTCAGGGTAATGTTTCCAAGAACTAAGTTCTTGCTTGTTTACCAGTCACTGCTGCATGCATCAGAACCCAACGCACAAGGCCAAGCAAAGATTGAGCCATTTGTGAATAATCTAGTAGCAAAGTTTCAGTCAGCATTTTACCCATATGAAAGGCTTTCTGTTGATGAGATGGTGATTGGTTTCAAGGGCAGGTTTCATGCTAAACAGTACAATGCAGCCAAGCCTCACAAGTATCATATAAAGACATTTGGTCTTTGTGATTCAGTCACAGGCTATGTTTATAATCTGCTAATTTACTTTGGAGCAAAAACTGCCTACAATCCTGAGCTTGATCCAACATCAACTTATGCTGTAAAAGTATTTTCAACCTTACTGCAGGGTGTTGCAAGCTACCATCATCTGTTTGCAGATAGATTTTATACATCACTCCCTCTCATACAATTTCTTTTATCCAGGAAATTGAATTATACTGGCACGGTATATAAAAACCGCAAAGGATTACCGCAGCAGCTAAAACAACAACCAACCATCTTTGGAACTCCGAGATGGTTAGTTAATAATGAGCGGAATCCAAAAAAAAACTTGCATCCGACTGACCACAAATGGAAGTTTTACATTTGAGGAACGCCAGGAAGGGAGTCAAAAAGTTCAGAAACCTAGCCCCATTCACTCATAAAATATGAGTTTAAATGTCTGTGATTGTGTGGATAAATTTGTCTCGTATTATAGTAACCACAATCACAAAAGTAAGAAGTGGTGGAAAAAAGTTGTCACGTGGATCGTGGAAGTGACGCAGGTCAATGCTCACATCTTGTACATGTTTTCCCATCATGCTGCCCCCAAGCAGATGAGTCTCGCATATTTCGAAGACGAGCTCATCCAGGAACTAACTGCGCTCTCAGGTCATGAAGTTCCAACAGACTTGATCATTGCTGTGGCTCGTAGACCAGGCAGAAAGCCAGCCTTGTCTGACAGTTTTGTTGCGGCAGAACATTTAGTTGACTATGCTGGTGCAGACAGGCAATGTGTACAGTGCAGCAAAAATAAAGATTCAAAAACGCAGCAGGTTTTACTGTGTTGGATGTGATGACAATCCTCATCTGTCCCCCAGTGCATGTTTTAGTGCATATCACACCCAGTAAGGTGGTTGTATTCAGGATCAATATCATCATCATTGTCAAATAAATAAAGTCTTCAGTCGTCATTTGGTCTGATAGATGAAGTCTTAAGTCGTCATTTGGTCTGATAGATAAAGTCTTAAGTCGTCATTTGGTCTGATAGATAAAGTCTTCAGTCGTCATTTGGTCTGATAGATAAAGTCTTCAGTCGTCATTTGGTCTGATAGATAAAGTCTTTAGTCGTCACTGGAATTGCCCTTACATATCATGTAAATATCTTTTCTGGCTGTTCTGAAATTTGATGCGTCTAACAAAAATGATGATAAAATCCAAAGTATTTGGAATAATTGTTTCAAAGAAAGAGTAACTGATGCATAATTGAATAGAGAAAGCATGTGAATTCTTAGAAATGGATAGCTTTGTTGCTAAACAAGTAAAAAAATAAGGTAAGAACAAGATTGCATGTCTAAAATATTTGTGTGTGTCTAACATCCTCTAATGTAGTGTCACTGTTGTATGTTATTGTTGATCTGTAAATAGTTTATGTGCATTCTGCATTCATTTCTCTTTAATTTGATGTATTACCTCATACTATACAGCCAGTATTTTTTCAACAGGACATTTTTAGCTTTGTCATATTGCTGTTACAAAATTCAGTAAAACAGTTTTTCTTTTCATTCGGTTATTTTTAAATTTGACAAGTCACATAAGAATTGTCATAAAATGCAAAGTATTCAGGATAATTGTCTCAAATAAAGGCTAGCTGATACATAATTGAATAGAGAAGGCATGTGAATTCTTAAGAATGGGAGAAGTGTTTTTGATCTAGCAAAGAAAGTGAGGTGAACACAACATTTCTCACCCAAAAATATTCCTGTGCATCTAACATCATCAAATATGGTGTGATTTTAATATGTTATTGTTGCAATACTGATCCTTAGATAGTTTACATGCATTACATGGTACCATTCAGCCAGTACTTTTTCAACAGGATGGTTTTAGTTTTGTGATATTTCTTCTTCTGCCTTTCTACCCCCAATGGAGCATAGGCCCTCAACCAGCTCACGCCAAGTCGTTCTATCTTTTGCCATTGCATGGAGCTCTCCCCATGTCCTCCCCATCTTTCTAACTTCATTCTCCAGCTCTCTTCTCCATGTGTTTTTTTATACCTTCCTTTATTCCTATGCCCCTGTGGGTTCCAATGTAAAGACCTTCTAGTTATGCTGTTCTCCTGTTTTCTCAGTGTGTGTCCTATCCAGCGCCGGCGTCTTTTCCTCACCTCTTGGTCCACTGGAGCCTGTTTAGTTCTCTCCCAATGTTCTACATTAGTTATTCTATCATACCATTTAATTCCCTCTAATCTGCGCAGGCACTAGTTAATGAATGTCTGTAATTTATTAGTAATTGCCTTTGTTGTTCTCCATGTTTCCGCCCCATACAATAGTACTGATTTGACATTAGAATTAAAAAATTTTAATTTAGTATTTATTTTAATTTCTTTTGACCTCCACAAATTCACTAGTGCTAGGAAAGCCCCTCTTGCCTTTTGTATTCTTATTTTAATATCTCTATCAGTTACATCATCTTTATCTACATTACTGCCTAAGGTGTACGACTCCACGTCTTGGAGTGGGGTGCCATTACTATTTGCCTGATTTAACCTCATTATCTTTGTCTTTCCTTTATGGATTTTCTGACCAAGCTGCTGTGATCTCGCATCAAGTATATTTAATTTATCTTGCATCTGATTCCGTGAATGGGACAGAAGAGCAATATCATCAGCGAAGTCCAGATCATCAAGCTGTTTTGTAGGGGTCCACTGAATTCCATTCTTGGTGTTAACAGTTACTGTTTTCATAGTTCAGTCTATAGCCAGTAAAAATAAGAGAGGCGACAAAAAACATCCCTGTCGCACACCTGTTTGGGCGTCTTTTTCATATTGCTGTTTCAAAATTCTTTCTACAAAATTCAGTAAAACAGTTTTCCTTTTTTATTCGGTTAGTCTAAAATTTGACATGTCTCTTTCATGTCTAAAATTTGACATGTCACATAAGAATTGTCATATGTAGTGAACCATTTTCTCCTGAATAAGTTATGTTCCAGACAGAATGACGTCAGCTTATAAATATAAATGAGATATTTAAATGTAACAAGGGCAGAGCCGTGAATCACGGACAAAATGTTGGCCAAATGAAAACCCGTGTGAATCAGAGAACACAAAATAGTCGTAATTGTAATGTGGGCGTTAGAAGATTGTATAATACCTTAGAAAGAGCATGTGGGCAGTCTCGTTTGGGCCAAGAAACTGAGTGCTTGAAGAATGGAGGAGTTTTTGTGGATCCAGAATGTGTCTGAGTCTAAATGTGACTGACTGTTAACATAAAACCAAACGCTAAATAACTGTCATCATGTTTACGATATTCTCATTTCTTTACACTCGTGCCACTTGTTGCGGGCATGATTTCTCTATCTGCACTATTACGTTATTGCTGTTAAAAAAATCGGTCCATTATCAAAGATACGAGAGCCAAAAATTACAAAACTATTTATCAAAGACAACAAATAAGAAATAATAAAACTCTAATTAAATTACAACGTAGTGCTGAGCTTAACTTTACGTACCAGACTTAAATTGTAAGTTGACCTCGACTGAATCAAGCCAGTAACGCTTGTTTATATACTTTCTGCAAGATTTTCCAGAACATTCCAAGTCAGTTGCAAAGAAACAATGCATGTTGACATGTCTAGTGGATCATATGGCGCGATTGAGAAGACTCAGCGCTGCCAGCACGCGTTTGCAAGGATATTCTGTCCTGGCACTTTTCAAATGAAAAGAATCAAACACAAAAAATCTAGATCCTTTTAGCTTCTAACGTTTTTGTTTAGTTAGGCCAAATGTCTTGGTTAAATTAATTATGAAGCTTTTACAATATTTTGTGGCTCCCCTGTGAAGAGGTTGCAGTGCCCTGGGAAGCCGCGGTGCACAGTTTGGGAATCACTGTTTTATTGTATGTTTGTTCAATTTAGCGCATGTGTTCTCGTTTGGGAGATCAGATAATTCAGCTTGAGTCTGATGTGTCGATGTTCAGGCATTAAACAATCTGATCCTTAAACTTGAGTCTGGTGTGTTGATGTTCAGGCATTAAACAACCAGATCCTTGAACTTAATTCTGAAGTGTTGATGTTGAGGCATTGAAAAACCAGATCCTTCAACATGAGTCTGATGTGTTGATGTTCAGGGTTTAAACAAACAGATCCTTCAGCTTGAGTCTGATACGTTGATGTTTAGCCATTAAACAATCAGATCCTTCAACTTAAGTCTGGTATGTTGATGTTCAGGCATGAAACCTTCTTACCCCAGAGTCACAGACGTCAGAAGGTGACAGTCATCATTTTTTGTTCGTGTTATGAGAAGAGGGAAAATAGAACATGTTGTGACTACTGGAAAGTTATGTGGAAAGGGAGATAGCGAGAGAAGATTCTTGACAGTCTTTTTTGTGTGCCATGGCATGGGGGGAGTGGGTGGGGGAGGGGGGTGTCAGCAGTTACAGATCGCAGCAGATTGTGGAGAGGAGTGATTGCCCTCGCCAGTCGGCAAGGCACTTGATGATGTTGACCCCAGAGTGCCCTGGCACAAAAAATTAAACTGTTTTCTGTTAGATGAAACTTCCTTAGAGACCCCAACCATTGTCTTCAAATTCATCATGTCTCGATCTTCCTAAGCATGTTCATGGAATCATAAAGAACATACAGGAGAACATTTGTGTCTCTAGCCAGGTCATTGTCAGACTACTTGTAGTCAAGGCAAACACATCGCACACTTCCTTTACAGTTCTTAGTCCAACAAGAACCATGAAAAACCCTTGAGCTTCGCACCATCAGTGTTACTAACTGCAAATCTGTCAGCAGAGTTCTCCAAAATTAAGGCTTGAACTTCTACCACCACCACCATGGAGTTTTTTGTCTGCAGTCTCTGTTCAGTTTTATGTAGACTGAAAAGGATGTACACTACTATGCTGATACTCATACCCACTCCTGACCAATTAAAAACTTTTGACCTGACCCATCCAAGATTGTTGTGTTTCTGTTGTAACAAGTCACAAATGTGTCTGATCCCTAGGAACACACAAACCAGACAGTGATACAGCATCCTTGTTTACCTGGAGGTTACAATGTCACCATGAGCCAGCTAGAGATCTTTGCTTCTCCCTGTGTGACTGGTGATGTCACAAATTTTGGTTACACACCAGATGATGTGCTTGCGATTACTGCTGCAGTAAGTGACGTATGTCTATTATGTAAATTCCATCTAGTGAAGCAGCTTACATGTCATGAAACAGCCTTCATATCATATAACACCTTTTAGTAATGGTATAGCTTTCATTTCATGGAACAGCTTGATTTTCATTGAACAGCTTGATTTCAAAGAACAGGTGTCATGTTTTGGAACAACTTTCCTGTCATGGGACAGCTATCATATAGTCGAACATCTTCTATATAGTGAAACAGATTTGATGTCATGGAACAGCTTTCATATCATGGAACTGCTATTAGGCCATGGAATAGTTTTCATGATATGTAGCAGCTTTCATGTTATGGAACAGCTTTCATATCATGGAACAGCTTTCATGTTATGGAATAGCTTCCATATCATGGAACAGCTTTTATGTTTTGGAAGAGCTATCATATCATGGAACAGCTTTCTTTTAGTGGAACAGCTTTAATATTTGGTTATCATGAATACAATACTTGCAGCTCTTAACCCACTCAAGCACATCTCCAAGTCCTGTATCTTCAGTGGTTGAGGCTTAGACGGATGGCTCATATCATAGACAATAAGGATCAAGAATAAGCAATATGTACATTATCTCTAAATGTGCTTGACCTTAAAATAAATTGACAATTGCCAGTCAAGTCAAGGATGCTTTTCTATAACTGTTGGCAAGTTTGCATTTAATACTAGACCTATATTTTATAGGCCAATCAGCACTCGGTGGATCATGTGGTCAGCATCATGCTTGCCACCATTACTTCCTAGGACTTGAGGTGGTCCCCAGTTTAGGCTGGGTCGACTGGTAGCCGACTACACATGAGCTCACAACTGTCAGTATAATTAATTTATGAACTTGCTGTAATGAGTTACATAAATAATTTGCTATAATGTTTGTGTCATGTTAATGACTGATTATACATTTGTGTGTCATTTCACAGACCAACTATACATTTGTGGGCGCCAGCAATAAAAGCCAATGTGCCAGTCTCTTGGACAGAACACTGTTTAATAGAAGCTCATGTCCATACGCCAGTTGTTCATTCAATGGAGTCTACCAGCCACAGCTCTCTGGTCTGTTTTATGTAAGGCAGGCAACGTCCACTGTACTCTAGGACATCCAGAATCTTCCACTGTACTCTAGGACATCCACAGTTTCACTGTACTCTAGGACATCCACAATCTTCCACTATACTCTAGGACATTCACAATCTGTCAATGTACTCTAGCACATCCACAATCTTCCAATGTACTCTAGAATATCCACAATCTTTCACTGTACTCTAGGACATCCACAATCTTTCAAATTACTCAAGGACATCCATGATCTTACACTGTACTCTGGGACATCCAGAATCTTTCAGTATACTCGAGGAAATCCACAGTCTGTCGCTGTACTCTAGGACATCCACAATCTTTCAGTGTACTCTAGGACAACCACAATCTTTCACTGTACTCTAGAATATCCACAAGCTTCCACTGTACTCTAGGTCGTCCACAATCTTCCACTGTACTCTGGGACATCCACAGTCTCACTCTGTACTGAAGGAAATCTACAATATTCTATTGTAATCTAGGAAATCCATGATCTTTCACTGTACTCTAGGACATCTAGAATCTGTCACTGTATTGTAGGACATCCACAATCTTCCACTGTACTCTGGGGTCTAATTGGTCTTAAGGCATCCACTTCAAGTACTAGAGGACATCCACATCTATTCAGGCCTAGGTGAAGGTTGGGATTTGTTTCACATGGACGTCTAGTAATTTCCCCTGGTCTCTGGGTACTAAGATTGGATGCCCTTTTGTATTATTGAGCGTGTAAAAAAATCCCTTTTCAGTTAAAAATTCAAAAGAGTAGACTAACGGTGCTGAGAAAGAAAAATTTGGAGTTAAAAATCTACCCAATGTAGTTCAGGATCCTCACCCATGTATGGAGTTCGTGCACTGCCTGAGATTCTTTGGACTAAGGCTTGAGTTAGAAGTAGAATGGAAAGGGTTACTACCCTTGTGCCATGATGTTGATCTGTTGTTAAAAATATCAAACCACTGTACCCTAGGACATCCACAATCTTTCACTGTAGTCCTGGACATCCACAATCTTCCACTGTACTCTAGGACATCCACAATCTTTCACTGTGTGGTAAGACATCCACAATCTTCCAAGGTACTGTAGGGCATCCACAATCTTGCAGTGCACTCTAGGACATCTACAATCTTCCACTGTACTCTAGGACAACTACAGTCTTTCACTATACTGTTAAACATCCACAATATTTATCTATGCTGTTGAAAATTTATGTTTATTGTACTTTTGGAAATTCATAATGTTTTGATGTACAATTTGAAATTCATGTTTTACTGTAGTGTTAAAAATTCATAATCTTTTACTGTAATGTTGAAAAACCATAATGTTTTACTGAAGTATTGGAAATCCGTAATGTTTTTTCACTGTAGTGTAGGAAATCCATTATGTTTAACTGTCTTTTTCTTCTGCCTTCTTTCTCCCAATTAGGCATAAGCCCTCAACCAACTCATGCCATGTCATTTTATCCTTTGTTATTGCATAAAATTCTCCCTGTGTCCTCCCCATATTTTTTTAAAGTTTACTCTCTAGCTTCCTTGTCTATGTGTTTTTGTAGTCTTTGTTTTTTTTCTATGCCCCACTGGGCTCCAGTCTAAAGGCATTCTAGTTATATCATTTAACTGTACTGTTCGAATTTTAATTTGTTTTTAAACTGTAATTTTTAAACCTTGATTTTTTTTTTTCAACTGATCAGCTGGAAATCCATAATGTTTGACTGTACTGTTGGAATTATTCCCTGTTGTGTTCATGCTATTGTCCATCTGCATATAACAAGACTGTCTGTACTTGAGAGTAGCAGTTCCCATCACATATACAAATCTAGCCACATGAGCAGACTGATAGATTGGGTATCAGCTTGGTACTGAATCAGATGAACTTGATGTAGATTAATAGACTATGTGTCAGCTTGATACAAAATCAGATGATTCTTATTATAGATTGAAAGACTGTGTCATTTTGATAGAGAATCAGATGATACTTGATATAGATTGATAAACTGAGTGTAAGCTTGATAGAGAATCTAACGATAATAATTATAGATTGATAGGCCTAGAGTCAGAGATATAGGCGGTGATGCAACACAACAGAACATGTAATACATACATTAGGTGTCCACCTGTTAGTTGTAACTTCAACTATGAAAACTCAAAATTCAAAATGACGAAAATTGGATCCTTAAGATCTGATTATCTGCAATCTCGATATATGTTACTCTTGCTATACTACTTCTGGCACAATTATATATTAATATTGTAGAAAAGTCCCATCACGGCAAAAGCTGAATAAGGTGTTAGAAAATTATCATGTCATGCCATTCTCACTTGAATTCCTTCATGCATGTCCTATATGACACAAGAATAGGCTGGCTAACTTTCTCTTGTAGAGACTTCCTCATCCTTCTATGTGTTCCTTTAGAGTTTCCTAAATGTGCCGTATAGACCACACTATCATCAGTTATTTAACATCTTTTCTCATTGTATTTGTCAAAAGTCTGTCATGTCCTGGCTACATTTTCCAGAAATGAATCTGCTAATAATTGTACTGGAAAAATGGTATGAGGTCTTAAATTTTCTTCTGTTCTTCTCATGAGATAAAAGTACCTCATTACTATCTGCAATGACTCTGTTCACATATATTCTCTAGGCTATAGTCATCTGCAGAATTGTCAGGTGCACACCGACTCACACATCAACATATTGAAACAATGAATGAGGTGAAAAGACAGCTGTTTATTGATTCACACAACCACATACGAGCCAGTGTACAGTGAGGTGATGGTCTAGGGACTGCAACTCAACAACTGATTGCAAATTATACAGTTTATGAAATTGTTACCTTCACACAGAAATACACATGAACAATTCCATGGCGATAGCTTAACATTGACAATCTTCCACACTGAACAAATACAACACATCCAGTCTTGACTATAATTTTGAAAACAAATGATAGCCAGGTTTTTTCTAGGAACTCACAGCCAAATCTGGTTAACACATCAGCTTGCAACTTGATTCATCCATCCGCACCGCAGACACTGTTCCTGGAACTCAAAACACGACTGATCTTTCTCGATGATTCTTTGACTTAAGTAATATTTTATTCCTCTGTGTTTATTGATCATTCACTAACATAAATTGATGATTTATTTCTTTTGGCATGTGCCCAGCTTGCCTTGTGTTCGAACATTTTATTCGTTTTTTACTAAACCCAATTCGCCCGAACTGAAATTCATAATTTATGTTCAGTCTATAACCTCATTATTAATGCACACATTCATTATCAGGAGAAAATGACTTGTTACACTCTCCACCACATACACACAGACACACACAAAAGTTTTACATTTTCATGTTTTAACTGACTATATGTTCAGTTTAAGACTTTAGACTGTAACACTTCATTTTCAACCTGGTCCTTGCTAAACCTTTTAATTGCAGCATATGTCATTGGGTTTACACATCAACAAATTCAAATTGTTGTCGGTTAGGTCTTCCTATGATTGAGCATACCTTGATAAGATCCTCACCCAGTCTTAAAATCAACCAAACACCAAATATTTGGCTCTACAGGTATCCTCACCCAGTCTTAAAATCGTTATAACACCAAACAACACCCCTGGCACTCCTGATTAAGTGTGGAAGTCCAAAATATTAGCTTTAAACAGACGTGTGACCCCATGAAGTCCCACACTCACTATACACATTTATGAAAGTCTCCACAATAGCAGAATAAATTGTGTATGATTAAGCTCCCAACTATATAAGCTTCACCAGTTGGTTATTAGACTTAGACTTGTCTTATGAAATATACAGCATGTTTCATCAGCACAAATATTCTAACATAATGTAACATAAATATGTTAATACTTGGTACACAATTCTATGGTCAATAAATTTTCAGATTTGGTTTGTTTTTAATCTGAGTTCCATCTACTTTATAAATGGTTGACTAACAGTTGTTATTCTGTAGAAATGGTAATTTTGAAATAGCACATACATTACCTATCTTTGCATTTATATTCTAGATTACAATAGCACATACATGATATTATTTTATACATCACTTGGTTCAATCAATATTTGAACACATTTTTACAAACATGACATGATGTCTGGCAGATGATTGTTTCTCTTATATGTTCAAAATTTAAGTTTAACTGAGAAATTAATAAAGACCATCTATATACCCTTGGATTACTATTAGCAGCTATTGTAAGTAGTTTTGTTAATCCCAAATTATCAGTTAAAGTGGTAAATTCATTTCCTAATACAAACGAAAAGGTTTCACTGCCTCTGGGGATAATGGTTTTTGCCAAAACCTTCTAAAAGGTCATTTAAAAAAAAATATTTTGAGTTTTATAACTCCTGTACAATTTCATCTGAAGAATGTATTGGCTCTGTCTCCAGATGTGTAATCTGATTTAGTTTTCTGTAATCAACATGTAAACGTTATGAACCATCTTTCTTATTTATTACTACTAATAGGCAACTGTAGATTGATGTGGAATCTTCAATGATTCCTTTTTGTTGTAATTGCTAAAGTTCTGACTCAACTTTGTCTATATAATATGTTGGTCCTCATATGGTCTAGATTTTACTGGTATAGATGAATTTAACTGGATATTGTAGTTTATTATATCAGTTTTTCCAGGTTTATTTGTGAAAATCTCTTTATACCCAAAGACAGTATCCTATAATTCTGTATTTTTATTTGTTGATAACTCTGGATTACCTTTTATCAATTTTCAATTGACTTAATTTTGTTGTTAATGGAGTTAAAATGTCTTCATCTATAACATCGGGCAACTTTTTATTTATTACCTTGCATGAATTTGTGTCAACAAGTACATCATTATTTGACATAAAAAGCGAACGCCTGAAGTATGGTTTAACTCTTTCAGGCCCATGAATTTTGACAGACTTGGCCCACAATAATTTCCCTTTACAAAAATGGCAGAGGGGTGGGTGTGCAAGAAAGGCAATAGAGAATGTAATATGCTTCTAATCCCTATAAAAGGATATATTTTTTTAAAGAGAAACAAATGTACATTTTGAATCTGAAAATAAGTGTTAGTTTAATTTTGTTATAGTTAGTAGGAAAGAATAATTTGGCAGGTGTTAATTTCACAACAACAACATTTTACAAACAAATTCTTCACCTAACATGGTTTTGCAGCCACAAGAGTAGTAAATATCCAAATTTGAGAAAAAAACTTCAAAGTTTGTTCAATTTACTAACAAATTCTAAAGTTATGCTTGGTTAGTTTAGCACTCAAGGGCTCTTAGTTCTCACAGAGTCCTGAGCAAAATTTCAGGAAGAAAAATGGCAGAAAAATGGGCCATAACACACACTATTTACTATTTACTTTGTACAGATATATACAGAATGTAGCTGCAATGATTTCAATGTAGCTTAGCCATAGTATAGTACTGTCTCTTTGCTTAGAGCACTTTCCTTTTCTTACACCATAAATACGGTAGCAATGGAACATTGTCTGTTTAAACTCATCAAAATTGCTAGATTCATAACAGCTAATTGCTCAGCTTCGCTGATGAAAATTCACCGTCTTAATCACTTTCTGAAAAATCTAAATTTTCATTATCATTATCTGAATTAAAAATCATCTGACTGAAACAATTTCAGAGCTTCGGCCGCATAAAGACCCATTCTGGACCTGTACTTGTGGTTGAAACATTGGTATTCATGGCACTCAAAAACGAACTTAGGAAAATGCACTGTTGAAAAAAATTTTGCTGCAATTCCGCTCAAATTAAACACGTGGGACTAAGATAATGAATGGAACTAAAAGGATTTTGGCAGAGTGACTTTTCCCTGAATAGTTTAATCGTACTTCCGAACATTCGAAACAAGTACACAGCCGTAAGCAAAGCAAAATGTACGGGACACTCGACCGACGATGGCAGCGTTGTTTGGGCAAAACGGAACTTCTCAAACAACACTCACACTGTTTCTTGGGCCTGAAAAAGTTAAGCATATAAGGATGAAAAATTTTCAACTTTTCATCAATTTTAATTTCATAGTCAACATCAGAAATGTTTCTTGAAACCCAAAATAGGCCTGATTATCACATATGCAATGTGACGTTTTTGGCAAAAGTAACCACCATGGAATCTGCATGCATGAAATTAAAACATTGTCATAATGATGAATGAGTAATTTAGGCTTTGGGCTGTCAGTGGTTTCCAGTAAAATTGGTACCAGTTTTATATTTAAATTCTTTTATTCTAGCTTATTGTTGCATGTTGTTAGTCATGCTGCAAGTCACTGCAGCGGTTGTATGGGGAAACTTTGGGTCTGTAGATAATTATAATGGATGAGAAACGAGTGTTTGAAACATTTTTTTCCTTTAGTTTTTCATTAAATGCAACTGCTGGTGATGATATTTCATTTTCTTTTATTCTTCATCCACATGTCATTCAGTTTAAGGGATGTTATGTTTTTTCACACACTGCACTGTCATTCATCTCTTTTGCACTCATTAATTTCCTCATATATTTATAAAACTCTGTGTTCTCATTCTCTTTTTGTTTATTCTTTTTTGGACGTTCTCAACTGTCTAGAACATGACAGAGTAACTGAAGTTATTGTCAATATTTCTGAAATTCTCAGCTGTCCTGAGCTTGACAGACTAGCTGACATTTTTGCCAATAATTCAGATATTTTCAGCTATATAGAACACGACAAGCTGAATGTGTTGCCAATAATTCAGATATTTTCAGCTATATAGAACACGACAAGCTGAATGTGTTGCCAATAATTCAGATATTTTCAACTATATAGAACACGACAAGCTGAATGTATTGCCAATAATTCAGATATTTTCAACTATATAGAACACGACAAGCTGAATGTGTTTTTAATATTTCAGGCATTCTCCAGCTTCTTCTATGTGTCAGACTTCTTGAACCTCTCCAGCAGCAACAGCAGCTACTTCAAGTACCAGGATTTTCTCACTGCAACTGACAACATTTGTAACTACAGCTGGTCTCAGGTATTTTATTACACTCTCATTATCAAAGCAATGTTTGAACTAAGAAGAAACAAATAATAGATTGCACAATTTATTGCCTGGCATGTGTTGCTTATCTCGTCAGGTGCATACTACAGTACCAATTGATTAAAACGAAGCAAATAAATAAATGCGAGTGTGTCAGCCATCATCTTTGTCAACCAATGATCTTTTCAACCATTGACCTTATCAGTCATTTACTATACCAATCATTGACTGTGTCAGCCATTGAGTTTGTCAGCCATTGACTGTGTCAACCACTGACTGTGTCAACCATTGACTGTGTCAACCATTGACTGTGTCAGTCATTGAGTGTGTCAGGCATTGAGTTCGCCAGCCATTGGCCATGTCACTCATTGAGTGTGTCAGCCATTGACCTTGTCAACCATTGAATGTGCAAGCCATTGACCTTGTCAGTCATTGAATATCTCAACCACTGAGTATGTCAGCCATTGACTGTGTCAACCATTGAGCACGCCAACCATTGACTATGTCAACAATTGAGTGTCAGTTATTAAGTCTGGCAACCAATGACTCTGTCAGTCATTGCGTGTGTCAACCATTGAGTGTGTAAGCCATTAATCTTGTCAACCATTGAGTGTGTCAACCATTGACTGTGTCAACCATTGACTGTGTCAACCTTTGACTTTGTTATCCATTGAGTGTTTATTTATTTCTTCACTTCATCTTTTGATTCAGGGTTTTCTTGTATATAATTCATTATTGGCTCTTTGATGATTTTTAGTCATGTGATTTAATTCTGGATCTAGTATGTTGTATGTTTTCTTTTATTTATGGGGCATATTCATCTGGTGTGTCCTATGTTTTTCTGCAAAGTTAGTATAACAAAAGCATCAAAACTGGCATTATCCAAGATGGCTGGCTCTATAGCTACCTCAGACCTATTCCTAAACCTGGGAATAATCGCATAGTTCTAAATAGCTACGGAATCATCACGCTCCAGAAAATTGTAGAAAAACTCATGGAAAAAATCCTGGTCAGAATGTTGGCATGCAAATTGGAGTCAGGAGGTCTATGCCCTGCTACACTAGATGGTTACCGACTGGGAGAGACACATGGTCCAGTGCAGCAGTATTTGAATACAACACATACAAGGGTTTCCAGGAGGGAATGGAAATGGCTGTAGTTGCCACAGTTGTTGAAGATGCATGCAGCAGAGTCCCATACAATGTGCTAATCAGATTGATGATGTACATGACATACAGATAATATGAATCAAATGGATTGCAGTAACATTGTTTGAAAGAACAGTATCACTGTGATATGGGGCATGGGTATTGAAACTTGTTTCTGGCCTGTTGCTGGAATCACTGTTATCTCCGGTGCTCTTCGGTGTGAACAAAGCAAGAGTCACCAATGTATGCAGATTATATCCTTATGTACCGACATGAACTTAAACCACTCTAAAACATGATCTAGACAGAATCAGTGAGAGGTGCCAGGAATTGAGGGCATGTGTGAACCTGGCAAAGGCCTTCTTATCATCGTTCTCTCTGAATACCCACATAGCTAAACAAGTAGCCACAACTACAGTTATTGTACCAGACTCTAAACATGCTTCAGAAGATCGCAACAGGCAGTCATTGCTCTGAATGGGCATATGGTTATGGTTAGTTTCATATCCTTTACAGGACGTTACAAAACCAACCCCAACAATATAGCCTTCGAAAATCGCAATTAAACTACATCACTAGGACCCACACACCTGGGCATGCCAGTAGGAAAGGTAATGAATAAGCAGATTAACCCTTTGAAGATGGAGCAATTTTGGAGTTTCAGTGCCAAGAAGACAGAACCTTCAGGAGGGGATTCTCATAGTTTATACACAAAAAAATTACTAAAAATAAAGCGTTTAATTAACACATACAAAACAATATATATTCGTTTAGGAAATTGAATGAACTAAGAGAATATTTATGAATCAAACTGAAATCTCAACATTTATACAAATTAACTATTCTGATTTGCATAATTTATGGAAAGCACTTTTGTTTTTAACTTGGGAACAACTACAACTAACTTGAAAATTTTGGGTGAATTTTTTTATGGATGAAGCTTGAATAAGTCCTAACACCTGTATTTTAGGAAGTAAGGCCCTTGGAGGCCCTTCAGACATGTCTGGCACACGGTTCTACTCATTTTCCTGCCTCCAGCTATATTTCGGTTGCTATGATGCAACAGTTATTTTCGCCATTTTCTAAGTCTGATTAGCTGGTACGAAGACCTGCCAGCCAACATCAAGGCTTCTGTTACATAGTGCCAACGGATCGGCCCAGTCATCTTTTTGGCTACTTTGTGTTGGGTCGATATTTCGGCCGCGTTGTCTCCAAAGGGTTAATTGAAAAGCAATGCACAAATGCTTGTAAGAAAAAAGCATGGATGGAGCAGATATCAACGCAACACTGTGTGCACTAAGTTAGTGGGTAATAAGGAATCTCTTACGCTAACATGATTGTATGACATGAAGGTAAAGCATGGTGAAGCACATCAATACTTCATTCAAGGCTGAGACATTGTAACCAGCTGCTCCTGGGTTAGGGTTAGGGTTAGTAAGTAGTTGTACCTTGGAGTGGTGCTGCATCATAGGATTGAGCAGGCACGTGAATGCCTAATGGGCAGTGACGGTGATTGTGATAATACTAAAAGTTGAATTTCATCCAAAAATAGTTCATAATACCAGTAAACATTCATTAACTGGCATTTGTGCTGAACTGCATGAATAAAACAGGTCACAGGATCAATAATTTGAAGCTTTGAATATGAACTAAACAAACTCCAATGAATTTAGAGGAAAGGATAAGGTACTTGTACTGGACGGAACACCCACTGAGAGAGTTATGAGTTAGATTATCTTCACAGCACTACGGACACATCCATAGGCACTCAGATTCCCCTCTCCCCTGCTTGGCTGTGCTGATCTTTACTCCCAGTTCCCATATTCTTAGAAGTGATGTGAACATGTAGCTTCCAAAATCCTCATAACGTCCTATCTCTCTAAGGGCAATGACAATGTCTGCATGATCCATGGGCCAGACATCTTCAATTAATGCAGTGCCTGCCAGTCTATCATCTCTCTCATTACCAACAATGCCTGCATGCCCTGGGACGAATATGAAAATAACTGCACACACAGGAGAATTTTGCAATGACTCAAGCCACTGTCTGTGTAACCAGCCTGCCTCAACCTGCCGGATCATACTCAAAGAATCACTAAGCACACACACGCGGGAATAGTCCTGTGATCCCAGCCACATGAAAGCCTGTGTCACCACCATCACCTCCATCGTCATGCTGCTGGTGGTCATGGAGAAGGCACCGCAGGCTTCCTTAACTGTTCTGCCTGAAGAGCAAGTTGTAAATGCCCATGCACTCTTATGTCCTCGTATAATGGACCCGTCTGTGAAGATCACCACATTTGTCTCATCTGACTTGTTACTGATAAGCGTGCGTACCTCGGCATTGACAGCAGCTGGATTCTGCTCCCGACAACTTTCGAGCGTCACGACACAGGAGAATGTTAGATTGGACGCTTTAGACGCTGATATCCATTCCTCGCCTGGATGGATGTCTCTAAGGCTGCTAACCTGCATGATGTCATCCTCTGCCCTACCCAGCCATGATTTGCCCCTTTTAAGCCTATTGCCCCTTTTTTTGAAGAGCATGTGGTGCAAAGGGTGCTTCAGATCTGAGCTTATTTTGAGGTATGCACGTGCCCTCCAGATCTTGATCCTGTAGTTCATGGTAAGAAAGTCAAGAAGGTACCTCATTGCTACACAAGGGGTGTCTCCAGTACACCCTAGAATAATGCACTGAGAGAGAAATCTGGATTATCTACTGAAACCCATGAGGTCAATGAAATGAGAGTTTAAAAAAAAAAAACCATGTGTAGTTCTTGTTTCATCAAAAATCAAGAAGCTATTCCTCATGGTTATTGCACTCTCATAACCATCACACTGACTGCTACCACAGTCACACTATCGTTACCTTGACTCATCATGCTGACTGTTACCACAGTTACACTATCGTTACCTTGACTCATCATGCTGACTGTTACCACAGTCACACTATCGTTACCTTGACTCATCAAGCTGACTGTTATCACAGTCACACTATCGTTACCTTGACTCATCAAGCTGACTGTTACCACAGTCACACTATCGTTACCTTGACTCATCATGCTGACTGTTACCACAGTTACACTATCGTTACCTTGACTCATCATGCTGACTGTTACCACAGTCACACTATCGTTACCTTGACTCATCAAGCTGACTGTTATCACAGTCACACTATCGTTACCTTGACTCATCAAGCTGACTGTTATGACAGTCACACTATCGTTACCTTGACTCATCAAGCTGACTTATCACAGTCACACTGTCATTATCTTGACTCAGCAACCTCCAATTCAAGAATGGAGATGAAGGCAGTGACTGCAGCCTTCTGCTGGCTTGAGAATCAGCTGTACCCACATGTCGTAACTGTAACTGACTCAGTACATGTTGAGAAAGGTAGAGACAGACACGCTTCATGCAGAGTGCCAAGTACCACTTGAGAGGTCTCGGGTAGTTAGCGTCATGCCACACTGTCAATACCTTGACTCATCACGCTGATTGTTACAGATAACTGTATTCCTAACTTGCTTCAGTACTCCCAAGTCTGCAGATACTGCGCAGAGGCCCACATTTTCAATGAGTGCCTGTAGTGGCCAATAGATTTCAGACAACCCACTAAAACAGAAAGTGCAAGAATTAACCAGTGTACATAGTGCAAAACTGTATGAACGCAATCAAAGTAGCCACCAAAGATGAAGTACCTTGTACAGAGGCAAGACGGAGATACGAGGCGGCCAAAGGGACCATAGGGTTGGAGATGTCCCTACAAAGCCGGATAGCATAGCTGAATAAGGAGATCAATGCACTCAGAGCAGCCAAAGGCAGACATCGACGCACAAAGACATGCTGACAGAGAAGAGAGGATAAACACTCTGAGAGAGATCAAAGATGCCCAAGACAAAATTGCAGTCAAAGCTATCTATCTGGATGGAGTGATTCAAGGCAGAAGACAGAGTCCTGATAACAATTCAGAAACAGCTGTAGCTCCTGAAAATTTGATGAACAAGAGCTCAAGACAACCAGTAGAATTCCCCAGAACAGAAGCAAAGATAACACCACAAGAAAATGTCAACTGGCAGAAAAAAACGGCCACAAGCAACAAAAGTATACATACTGATGTTGCAATATTTGCATCAGCAAGTTCTCGAGGGATACACAATCAAGAACTGAAGAAACAACACAAACAAGTTGAGGAGGACCAGTGCACAAAAATGGCCAGTTTGAGGAAAGAATAAAGGAAGACATAAGGAAAACCAAACTAGTGCTTGAACAATTCTACTAAAATGAAAATCTGGGAATTGTGTATCAAACAACTGATGGAGATGACAGCAGCATTATTGGAAGAGAACAAACGAATCACAGCTAGAATCACACAGAAAGGCAGACGACACTTTAGGGCAGAAAGAGAAAGTACAGATGGCACACAACCAATCCATGATGAGTCCTTCTCAGAACTACCCAATGAACACACCTGAAGGCAGTGGAGACCTCACAGCCCAGAACCTTAACGGACATGGGAGGCACAAAACCAAGAAAAACTAAGCCATTAACCATGGCACAAGAACTCAGTTTTAGCCAGCTTGGCAGAGAAGAAACAGCCACACTTGTAACCAGAAGCTTTCTTGTAGCAGCTAAAGCTGCCCCCTACAAACAAGCATAAACAGCCTGAGAGGAAAATTAATGACACATGTGATAAAAGCTTTGGAGGGTAGGCAGTGAGCTGCACCAGATGACAAAGAATGAGAAGCTTGGCATGGTGCTGTTTAGCTGATCTGTGCTCCATGGGGAATGTATGGCAGACAAATAAGGGCTTAGCAGCCATTAATGCAAGCATCCAATTACAAATGTTCCTAGGCATCTTTTGTCTTTAACTGACACAGCCCACTTAGCTACTTTTTTTTTTATTTGCTGTAACCATCTTTTTTGTGAGTGAGTGACTGTGTTGTGTGAGTGACTGAGTGTGCTTTATGACTATATTTTGTGAGTGAGTTTGTTATGTTAGTCAGAATGTATTGTTTGAGTAATAGTGTTCTGTTTGAGTATGTGAATTGTATGAGTGAGTGTGTTGTTTGAGTGAGTGAGTATTTATGACAACAGGTAATACATCTGGCTTGTGACACCTTTAGCTCCAACAGATACCTGTGACGCCACAAGAGAAGGGCAACTTGATGTTTTACTGTCTACAAGCTAACTTGATCAACCTGCTGCTTCACGATGGCTACCACTTCAATGATTCTCTGTGGATTCAGATTAATTTTGTCGAACAGGTATTCACACTTCACACGTAATGTTATGTTGGACAGGTATTCACACTTCACATCTAATGTTTTGTCAAATAGGTAATCATACTTCACATCTAATGTTATGTTGGACATATATTCACATTCACATCTGATGTTAGGTTGGACATGTATTTAACACTTCAGATCTAATGGTATGTTGGACAGGTATTCACATTTCAGATCTAATGTTATGTTGGACAGGTATTCACATTTCAGATCTAATGTTATGTTGGACAGGTATTCACATTTCAGATCTAATGTTATGTTGGATGGGTATTCACACTTCAAATCTAATGTTATGTTGGATGGGTATTCACATTTCACATCTAATGTTAAAGGTTAAGGTTACAATCAAGAGGATCAGCTTCATTACACCAGGTTTTATCCCATACGGCTTGGTCTCTCTCCCAAAAATCGCTAGCCACCTGCTGAAAACACTGCGCAAAGCATGAACTCCTTAACTCCGTCAATGATCCTCAAGGATCTCCGTACAAAATTGCACTTGTGAACTTCAGAGCGCGAGGCAAATGGCTTGACCACTTCGCCATAGAGACCCCAAAAATGATCTAATATCTAATGTTATGTTGGACAGTTATTCAAACTTCACATGTAATGGTATGTTGGACAGATATTCACACTTCACATGTAATTTTATGTTCAACAGGTATTCAAACTTCACATGTAATGTTATAATGGACAGGTATTCACACTTCACATGTGATGTTATGTTCAACAGAAATTCACACTTCCCATGTAATGTTATGTTGAACAGATATTCACACTTCACATGTAATGTTTTGTCAAACATATATTCATTCTTCACTTGTAATATTATGTTGAACAGGTATTCACAATTCACATGTGATGGTATGTTGGACAGGTATTCACACTTCTTGTGTAATGTTATGTTAAACAGATATTCACACTTCACATGTAATGTTTTGTTGAACAGATATTCAAACTTCACATGTAATGTTTTGTCAAACAGATATTCAAACTTCACATGTAACATTACGTTGAATAGGTATTCACACTTTACATGTAAGGGTATGGTGGACAGGTATTCACACTTCATGTGTAATGTTATATTGGGTAGGCCAGCTAACTGACTTAACTACCCTAGAACACACTTAAAACACACCCCTACGGAGTTCACACATAATCTTTAATGTACAAAGAACAATTCAACCTAAAGCAAGACTCAACGGAATGGACGTTATTTGATCTGAAATGCTGGCGATGGTAGCTTTTATATTCACTAATCCATCCCGAGCGATTCCCATGGATATCCCAAGAACTCGATTCCACCTCACTGTCGTACAGCACTAACTAAGCTGCCGTCCTTGCCAGGCGAGACTCTATGGTATGCATAAGATGAGTGATTCAAGTATGAGTGGGCAGTGTTAATGCCACCAACAATGCATGTCAACATTAACTATCTGCTTAATAGATTATGCGTGAAAACTTCTATTATGCAAGAAACATTACAGATTAACAATCTTGTCATAACACCATATGGAAACACAACATATTCAAAGCCTAACCACAAATAGATTAACAATCTTGTCATAACACCGTATGGAAACACAACATATTCAAAGCCTAACCACAAATACTATTCTTGCTAATCATCACTAATACAAGCTACATTACGCGTCTCTAATAGAAGATATATTTACAGTAGCAGTCCCACAAATGTCCAGTCCAAGTGTCCTACACACGTCTCTCCTCAAACAACCTCTGTTTGAGCCTTTTGTTCATCTCTGTCACGCTGTTCCTCGTGTTACTTGTCGGGCACAGGGTTTAGCTCAACTCAGCTGACACAGTTTATTACGTGGTCAAACTGCCCGATCTCGCTTTGAGTTTGACTGAGGGTCAACTCGTTCATACATGATGATTCACTATCATCACACCTTCTCATCCCGTAACCTAACTGGCCTCTGACATCCGCCCCTCCTAAGGAAAGATACTTCCTGACAACAAACGTCTATAAACTCCTTGTCTCAGTCTGTAGTCAAGTATTTCTAAACGGGTATGGGAAGTCCACATAGTTGTGTCAACCTTTTGTTACCCAAATCTAAGATGTCCCCTTATTACAAGTCAGTAGTCATCTACGTATATTGTCAACATTCAGTTGTCTAGATGTTAGATAATCTCTATCAAGAGTTAGTCAAATATATAAAGTCAATATATAAAATCAAAGTTCTGAAAAGATGAAATAAAATCCTGAAATAAAATTCTAATTACATACAGTTTTAACCTAGAGTCTACCATTCATCATTGATATCAAAATAAATAAGGTGCACAAATACATTATTATTATAAAATAAATTTCAATGCAAAATGAACTACAAATACATAATACATATGATGCACACACTACACTGCAAATAAGACATATAACATATACATTGCACAACAAATAAGACATATACCAAATACAGTACATAACAAATATGACATATGACATGTAGACCACACAACAAATATAACATATATATTAATACGAATTATAACATATAATATATGCATTACCCAACAAATATTACATACTGTATGCAAT